GAGAAAACAGAGTTAACGTTTCGCGTCCGGTGACCCTTCCTCAGAAGGGTCAGAACGTTTCGTGACACCGGACCCGAAACGTTAACTCTGTTTTCTCCTCCACAGATGCTGCCAGACCTGTTGAGCTTTTCCAGCAACTTTGTTTTTGTTCCTGATTTACAGCATCCACAGTTCTTTTGGTTTTTATTCCATACCAATGTTGTTTTGTTTTTGCAGGGTTCACTGGGACCAAAGGGTGAAAAGGGAAGCCGGGTAAGGCTGACTTGCATGTCTCACTGAATTTGACTGTCGTTTTAATTTGCATGATATTTTCCAGTGAAGCTGAAATCTAGAGGCTATATTTTCCTCTGGCTGCCATTTTTGACAAAAAGCAGAAATCTATAAAACAGGAGCAGGGTGTCAAGGAAAGCAGAGGAATTGTTCCATCTGTTTACTGTTAAAATATTCTCGTGAAGACCATTAGGGGAGACAAAATCAGAGATTGCAGGAAAAGTTCAGCAGGTCTGGCAGCATTTGTAGAGAGAAATCAGAGTTAACGTTTCAGGTCCAGTGATCTGAGAAATGATGGTAGCTAGGAAAAGGTTGGTTTTATGCAGAAGATAGGGGGTCACTGCTAGGAAATATTACACACTTTCTGGGAGATGGAAGTTATGGTGTTTGTCGTGGAGTGAACAAATGGGACCCAACCCTTTGAAGACAAAGGAAAGAGAGATAGCTGACATTTCCTGGGGCTAACATTTTAGCTGTTCTTCCTAAGTGATCCTTCAAGACGGGATGACTTTCTACCACTCTGGAGGTAAAAAATCTGCTGCTGGATCCACACATCCTGCTACAGGTTGTGTTGAAGAGGTGGGATGCTTGGACTTTTGCACAGTCCTTCTTCTCTGTGTACTTGAACTTGGACTCCCCCTGGGCAGGTCAGGGATTTTGGGATGGTTAACACCTTCACTGATGCTTCTTCTCCAGTTCGGCAGCAAGGGTTCTCGGGCAAGAGATTCCAATGAGTCAATGGAATATCGCATATTTTTCAGGAAGGTTTTAAAGATGCTCATGAAATGTATTCTTTGCCCTCCTGGTGACTACCTGCTGTGACAGAGCTTGGAGTGGAGAGCTTGTTTTCAGTGTCTTGTATCAGGCATATGGAAGCTATGGCCGATTGAATACAGTAACTGGTGCCTGGATTAAACAGAGGAAAATATAGTTCTCAGTGAATTGTGAATAAATAATCCATCAGTGACTTGATCATTTCAATTAGTTTTTATTGTCACGTTCAGTAATTGACAAATAATGTGCTTAACTCTCGAGATACAGCTTGCTTTTCTTAAAAGGGTAGATTTAACTTTGTAATTTTTTCTGGCTAAATTAAGTTATTTGATTATTAAAACAGAATTAAGAAGATAGTAATGAATTTGTAAAGGTTAGCATATTGATCTTAGATAAAATATAGTGGCATTTAATTCCTCCAGAACTACAGATGTAAATGTTGCTGGTTTTGATGTGTGTATCATTTTGTAGATGTTTCAATAATGCTGTGCTGTTTCATTTGTGCTCTGCATTTTCTCCTGTGTTCTTATTCCTTCCAACAGGTCTGCCTTACCCCCTTCATCCCTTCCTTCTGTTCTGCTTTAATCCCAGATTATCCTCCTAGCTCCTTCCTCCAACAGCATCTCCCTCTATTGCTGACAATGATCCTAATGTTTGAGCTATTCCTTTTTTCTACTCAGTCTGCAAGTTTCCCTCTCTCCCTGCTTCCCCTAATATTTATTTTGATTCTGGACTTTAATTCAGTATGCAATTCATTTTGGTGTTCGTAAAGAAATTGTAAGCATTAAAAATGTGGCCAACGTAACTTTTTAAATCAAAATAATTGAGAACAGGCATTGATTCTATTTTTTTTAAAATGCACATTCAGACTCTTAAACTTTTTTTAAACTATTTTTGCTTAAAATATATTTTGTGATACTGAAGTTTACTGAACAATTTATTCAATCCAGTACAATAATGTTTATTTATATGAAGTTGAGTAAAATAAATGGCAATTTTTTTTTCAATTTTCCCCCATTTTTTTCCATAGTTCCTTGACTAATAAAGATATTATTTGCAGGGGGAGAAGGGAAAGAGAGGTTCTAAAGGGCCCAAAGGGGATAAGGGAGACCAAGGAGTGCCCGGATTAGATGCACCTTGTCCATTGGTATGTTCTTGTGATGTAATTGAAAATGTTGGATTTGTAATGGAAAAATAAGGGAGGAACAAGAATGTTGGCCTAAAGGTTCCACAAAATGGATTCCATCATGGCAGACCTGAAGACTGCTTTTACACAAGATGTGGAAACGCCTCACCCTCCTTGAATCCAGCCTGTATCCATCAACAATGCCCCGAGTTGCATATTACCACAGGAGCTAAGCGTTCCCATTCAGAGTGTGGCTCTGGAAGAGTTCTGAGCCACATCTGGTGATGCGGGTTTCACACACCAAGATTTGCTCCTCCTGCGGTGGCAGAAATCCATTACCAGTTTCTTTGCTTCACTGCCTGAGCTCCACACCTGCAATCCCAACAGCCTATAAACATTTGTCAGTGAGACCGTAGCGAGCCCGACACTGAGGGTGAGAGCCCCAAGTCTGATGCTGAACAGCCATCGTAAGCCATCCTTGGAGCTGGTTGCTCTCTAATGATGTCGCCACCTTTTGCAACGTTGACCTGTCAGTTTCAAAGTCCTCCCTCCTTTCTCCATTTATGTGAATGTCAATTGCAGATGTATTTTGTATTAACCAAGTCAGTTCATTTTGTAAACAGGGGTTCCGAGGCTTTAAAGGAGAGAAAGGTGAACCAGGCTTACCCGGCCTGGATGGTCTTGATGCCCCTTGCCCATTGGTATGGTGTTATCGCCCTTCCCTTCCTGCATGCTAATCCGTTTAATCTATCTTCATGCATGCTAGTGAACTAATCGCTCCATGTGTAATGCAGGTAAAGTACAGCTCAATTCCCACATAGCCATCTAAACTCTTTGCAGCCAGTAACAGATCCGCTTACTAACCTCATCAGAGATCATTTGTTGTAATTGTGAGATTTGCTACAAGTGCAGAAACACTTGACACAAAATATTGTCCACTTTGCAAATAGTAGAAATTTGACAGAGCAGCATAAACCAATCAGTATCTCCTTAGGTAAATAATATATCTGAAGAGAAGCTCAGGAACTCGTTTCAGAGAAGATTCAAACCAATAGGAACTAATTTGAAACAATGAATATAAAGTTGATCTCCACAAACAAGACCTGACAGTGATTATACTCACTGGTCCCTAGCTACTTGGACTTGAAGAAACACATTTCTAAATGAAATCAGTGAAGTGATTACTGTTGAAAACCTCAATTTATAAAGCTCCATTTGGACAGTTTGCTGTGGAAGGGTTGTAAAACAAGTTGGACAATATTGAAGGATCTTATTCCTGAGAGCTGGCTGCAATGCTGGTTGATAGAGAAAATGAACCTCTGTAAATGTGATGCCATGTCATTCTCCATTTCTCCATCTTTTTGTGCTATTTACCAGTCAAATTTTGATATTTTTTCAACCACAAGTATTTTGGCTTTGAAATATTGTCATTGAATTAAATTCAATTGAAGAAAATCAGTTTATTTGGACAGTAGACCCTTCACCTGATCTTTATCACTCTAGCACAGAGGGCATCCTGAGCTATATATAATTTCTAACTGTCTAAAAACTGATCTCTCATCTAATAGCTGTTTGAAGGAGCTTGCTGTGCACAACTTAACTGCTGCATTTTCAGCTATAAACAAAGACTACACTTCAAAAGAACTCCATTGTGAGTAAATAACTGATGACCATCCTGTGATTGTGAAAGGCTCCACATAAATGCAAATTCTTTTCATCCTACAACCGTGTAAAAATTGCTAACCCAAATCCCATACCAGATTTGACCATTTTCATTTCAGTGGCTTTCTCTTCCCTTTGCTGTTTCAAAAACCAGACTCTCCATCAAACCTCCCTTACTTAGTTGGTGCTGCTACAGTGAATGGTTTTGCAGACCCCTCCTTTTTTATTACAGTGATGCTCCTCTTTCCCCTTTCAAATCCAATTAAAAATTAACATCCCTCACTTCTCTCCTACCCTGTCTTCTCTGTCACTTCCCTCAACCCTGCTCTGAGCGCATTACAACAGAGTACCAATGGGTTAATGCTAATTACCTCAAATTAGATCTATAGCTAAATAACTGAATCTTTTTTAGTGAGAAATCAACTTCTGCCTAATGTAAAGCACAACATAAGAATCCTATTTGAAATGTATAACATTTTATTTAATACATACTTTTTATGTTTTATTTTTTAATATTACTATAGAATTGCAAAAGGGTTTCACTGAAACTAGTAGCTCGATGCATGAACAATAGATTTAAGGCTTGCTTATAGTTCTTGAGTTTATAAACTTCATTTAATTTTTAAAAAGCATGTTGCATATAACTGTGCCAAGTCCAGAATAAATGTGATTTTGAATTGGGGTTCATTGGGGTGCAGAAATCCACTGCATGTGATTTCAGAAATGCAGTTGATTAGAGATCTGTAATCTGCTAGTTTGGTCTCAGGAAATTGAGAAAGTAGGGAGTGGGCGCTAGATTCCTGGCAGAGGTGCTCGAGGGAAGGCTTCCCTTTTCAATGCCATGGCAGTTGGTCACACTATCTTGTGTACACGCTAAAAGGGCTGATGTATGTTTTTTACTTTCTTATTGAATGGAGTTCAAGCTTGAACTGACTTTACCACAATAATTACTTTGTTCTGGAAATGTCAATTACTGTATACTGTTAGCATTCGAACAATGAATGATGTGCCTCCCTCTAGTTCCCAGTCTTAATATTAACCCATTTTGACCAATAACAGGTACTGGAGAATTGGAGCAAAGAGTTAAGGTCTACTCATATCGCTATCAATCTTTTCAGAATTATCACCCCTTCCAATAAAACCGACCATTTCATAGTTCTTAGCTGAAGGTTCAAATGAAAAGACATGCTTCAGAAATAAGGATAGTTTTGTTTTCACTGGGATGGGGTTGAGGATTTCTTGTGTTTAGGCAGGAAGGGGAAAGGACATTGGGAGGTGAGAGTATGTTTACATGCACTTGTGTTTGCCTGCTTGCTGCATGATAGTTTCAATAACAGCAGTGGTATTCATTTCATAAAGAAGGTGGACTATTGGGCTCCATTGGAGAAATGCATCAATATTAGTGGCCGTGGATGATTATTCTACTGTTCTGTAATAATGTACAACTCCCACAGCAATGGACTGTATAGCAAGTCAAATATAACTTTCAAGTCCATGAAAGTGAATACACATAAATCCAAAAATGTTGGTTCGTGTCCACTGTCAACTTTTGACTTAGAAATTGAAATACTTGCAGTGGCTTCAGATTTCCAGAATTCCTCCTTAACAACCTTTGAGGTCTTCTTGACTTCTCATTTTGAAAACAACATTTAATTAGAAGACACATCTATCAAAATCAATCAAATTAATAAGGATCACAGGTACGAGCAATTTTTATATAACGTCTCTGAAGTTAGAAGTGAGTCCCTGGAGAAGTGCAGTTCAATTGAAGGAAGGTTAGAAGTGATTCAGGGGTTCAACTGCAAAGGAGAGACTGAGATAGTCACACTTGTTTTGGTTGGAAGACAAAGGATTGTGATGTGATATAATCCACATCTTTAAAATGTCAACCGGTATGGCCATTGCAAATGTAATTGCATTACTTAATCAGAGGCAAAAGTCTAACATTGGCGAGCTTTCAATAAGACTGGAGCTTTGTTTTGTATTCATTCGCTGGATGAGGGTATCTACTGGCTAGGCTAGCATTTATGGCCATCCCTAATTGCCTAGAGGGCAATTTGGAGTCAACCACATTGTTGTGGGTCTGGAGTCATATATAGGCCAGACAAGGTAAGGATGGCAGTTTCCTTCCCTAAAGGACATTAGTGAACCAGATAAGGTTTTTCCCGAACAATTGTCACTGGTTTCATGGTCATCATTAGACTCTTTAATTCCAGATTTTTAATTGAATCCAAATTTCACCATCTGCCAGAAATTAAACCCCAATCCCAGGATCATTATAGGGGTCTCTGGATTAACAGTCTGGTGATAATACCACTAGACCATTGCCTGCCCTTTCTGCAGGGAGAACACAGAATAAGACGGCTATAAAAATAACCTGATGCCATAGTAATTCACTTCCTTGTTTAAAACAAAATTGCACAAAATATATTATCACGCAAGAGATCAAAGGTTTGTTTGGTAAGCATTAAAACTAAAACAAAATTACAGAAAATCGATGAATGTTAGTAGTGCACATGGTAACATTAGATTTACCTTTGGTGGAAGTTTCGACCCATGGTCTTCACAAATCAAGGTGAATTTTTAGGATTTCTTTTTTAATTTTCAACTTGTTGAATGAGACAGATAGGTTTCACAGACATAGGCAGGTGAGATTTCATTGAAAGTATTCAGATATTGACATGTGTTGTGGTACAGAATTCCAAACATAAAACTAAATTTACACAACACCAAATATAATGTTTCATTTTCCAAAAAATAGTGATGTTAATGCAATTGCTGTTAATTCTTAGATCGATGTCAATGCAATAAACAGTGGATCAGAAAAGTCCTTTGGGTTCATTCCCAGCATCATTTAAAATACAAAAACATGTGACAGTTAAGTAGCTACAACACCACCATGCAGCATTTGCTTTCCTGTCCCATTGGAACAGGCTCTTTTTTCTTGCAATTTTTGCAAGGGCTATTTTCATCGAACACAAAATATTTAGTAGGATGAAGTGAGGGACATGGGAGGGAACAGGGGATGCAAAAGGTCTTGCAAACGACAGGATAAAATGATAGAGCTGGTTTTAAAAGAAGTCAAAAAAAGTAAAACACTTCTCTATTTCAAACTGCAGGGCGAAGATGGTTTACCTGTACAGGGCTGTTGGAATAAAGTAAGTAATGTTGAGATGACTTGAATCCTGACCATCTTAAGCATGCTGATGAGTGTCTTTGAATTGGCTATAAACCACTCGTGCTTATAGTGTGGTAAATGTGAAGCATGTTCCTAATGTAGATCCCATAATGCTGCAATTAAATGCTGCAGGATAAGCAATTTTTTGAAAGCAGTTACTGTAGTTTCATCCTAGAAGCTTGATTCCTCAACCATTTAATTGGGCTATAAAGTTCCTCCCAATAAGAAGTAAGTTTACACACTTGTAAAAGTGTGAATGAGTTGTTAAAATACACATTAGACTCTAAGCCCTCCAGCATTGTGTCTGAAAGAAGCTATTGCAATAATTAAAAATGTGAGCACCATCAAAGCCCAAATTACCTGCAGTTCATTTAACAACATGCAAGAATAACGTAGAATAGTACAATCTGAGTTAGTTCGTGCCAGACCAAAATACATAGAGTCACAGTCATACAGCATGGAAACAGACGCTTCTGTCCAACCAGTCCATGCCAAACATAATCCCAAACTAAAAACCGAAAGAACTGCGGATGCTGTAAATCAGGAACAAAAACAGAAGCTGCTGGAAAAGCTCAGCAGGTCTGGCAGCATCTGTGAAGAAAAAAATCAGAGTTAACATTTCAGGTCTGGGGACCCTTCCTCAGAATGGGAACCGGTTCTGAGGAAGGGTCACCAAATCCGAAACGTTAACTCTGATTTTTTTCTTCACAGATGCTGCCAGACCTGCTGAGCTTTTCCAGCGACTTCTGTTTGTGTTCATAATCCCAAACTAGTCCCACCTGCCTGCTCCTGGCCCATATCCCTCCAAACCTTTCCTGTTCATGTACTTATCCAAATGTCTTTTAAACATTGTAATCGTGCCCACATCCACCACTTCCTCAGGAAGTTCATTTCACATGCGAACCAACTCTATATAAAAAATTTTTGATTTGTATCTTTTTTAAATCTCTTTCCTGTCACCTTAAAAATGTGTCCCCTAGTCTTTAAATCCCCCATCCTAGAGAAAAGGCAATTGCCATCTATACCCCTCATGATTTTATAAACTTCTATAAGCTCGCCTCTCGACCTCCTATGCTCCAGTTGGCAAATTTAATCAGGATTAGACAAGATGAATTAGGACTGTAAAATGTCATCAGATCACAATAAAACAAACAGCGATATTATCAATGACAGTTGTATAGTAGGAATATATATTGATCGTTGAAGCTGAGCCACATTGTCCAGAATGAGAATAATCTTGTGTAAGATAAAGTTTTGAGGCTGGAAATTATGCTGTATGTTTTTTTTTCACTTGTTTATGGGATGTGAGCATCACTGGCCATGCCAGCATTTATTGCCCATACCTATTTGTCCAGAGGGCAGTTAGGAGGATCTGTAGTGACATGTAGGGTAGACTAACAGATTTTCTTCCTTTAGTGAGGCAGATACTTCTTTTAAATGACAATCGATAGTTGTCATTATTACACCAGCTTTTTATTCCAAATTTTTATTGAATTCACATTTCATCATCTGCCATATTGGGATTTAAACCCACTTCCCCAGAATATTAGCCTGAAGTTCTGGGTTACCAGGTCAGTGAAATGTCTACATCACTGACTCCCTGTTACAATCCAAAGTTTTAACACACATCAATAACATGAGTTTGTCGCCATGATATTGAGTATAATAGCCCAGCCATTTCATGCATGCTCTTCATTTTAAATGACACACAATTGTCCTAAAAGTATAAATAGGATTATTGAGCCTAAGATAATTCATAACCTTTGGTTTTATTCTCTCCTGCTGAGGTGCCCACACACAATAAGCTGAAAACAGTACTTGGGATTTGTTTGAATTAGACCACGGAGCAGTGAATATTACTTTGGTAAAGGCAGAGCAGCTGACTTTTGTGTTTGAGTAATGTGAAGAGATAACATACAGGACGTAAAAGTAAGGAGTGCATAAGTAAAAAAATCAAATCGAATTGACTTTCATAGCAAATAATGAAAGTGAGTCATATGTGACTCTTTCCTCCTCAGCATTAGGGAATACAATACATTACCGGTCAAATTCCATTTCCTTTCTAATTGTTCTTTACTTGTTCCATATCTGTTTGGTTTCTAAAGTGCTAAGTTTGAACTAACTCAAGTTTACTTTGCTCTTTCTGCAGTGATGACGATCTAACCTCAGAATGGAGTGTGTACATAGAATATTTATTTTTATACAATTTTTTGCAATTATAAAAGTTATCTTTTTTAAAAAACAATTGCATATTTTAAGTTCACATTTTGTATAGATTGTATTAAATTCTGTCTTGTCTACGACTGTCCTTGCATCTGTGTGTATTCATCTACTAATTTTATTGCATAATACAGCAGTATTATTTGCATGATATTTGTGCAGAATATGAAAAGCCACTGTTGCATTATAACTTATTGTGTTGTATTTATTGGGCTGCACTTCATTGCAGACTCAGTTATTTGAAGTCAATTCCCTGGACCACAGTATATCCCTGCGGTGTTGCCTCGCTTAGATAATACTTGTTGCACAAGTGTGCATAAATCCTAGTGTCTTAAGTGCAGGAAAAGCAATCCAACCCTTTTATCACAGCTACTGCTAATGGACACTGGAAAGGAACAGATGCATTTCTGCTTTATATTTTTAACCAAAAAAAAAGTTAAATTCTTGAATCTGTGTAGAGTCCAAATATTTGAACTGTATTAGCTGTTCACTGATTGTTCTCAGGTATAGCAATGATAATACAACACTGTCATTCCAGCATTTTCACATTCAATGACCAAGAAAAGCAAAGTTCAAAAACCTATGCATTGCTACAAATGCCTCACTACAACAGCTCTTAATTCAAGTTGCACAGTGAGGCTTCAGTTGATGAAATTGCCAAGGCGATGTGGCTCCTGACAGATGCCAATGTCCTTTCACTGAAGTGGATTTTTTTAATAATAGGCAGAATGGGAAGTGCCAAGGAAGTCTTTTACTCTCTGACAGCCCCAATAAAACAAAGGTTCCTCATTGATTTTAACTAAAATGATACAGAGAAATATCATTAACATTTGTTTACAGCTTTTTAGACTTGTGTATCAAACGTAAAGTTTAAATAAATATATATATATGATATACCTTTACCAAGATGCTGGTGAGGATTATGCCCCATTGACAACCATAATTTGATGCTTGAGTCATTGGTATATTGCTGTAAAATAGACCCTGCACCAACCAATGTCTAGGCTACAAAGCCAGTGCTTTTACTTTAGCTGTCATAGAGTCAGAGAAGGTCATTTTACCTGTAGGTGTAGTCCCACATTCCTGATACCACTTTAGTTAATCTCTTCTGCACCCTTCTCGTGGCTATTCTCATGCTTGCTAAAGTGCTGTTCCCAAAAATGGACACAGTACTGTACCTGGGGCTGAACTAATGTTTTATAAATGTTTAGTGTAACTTCCACATTTTCATATCCTATGTGCCTATGAATAATGCCAAGGATCCTATACAATTTTCTTTGAAACTACAGCGTATCTTTCTCTCTAGAAACTGCCATTGGTGATGTTAGCAGAAAGTAAATGTATTGCATTTCTTTGCAATTTTATCTCAAGCATTCAGCAGTTTGATTTAAATTTATGTCAAACAAGTTATTGCGTCTGTGGTAAAACTGCAGAAATAACAATGTCAATTTGCTAAATATGCACTTTTTCCACCTGATGGTTAGTTTTCAAGTACTTCCTTAAAAAACTCAAATTCGCTTTTGCACATTCTCTGATCCCTGATTCCTTTCAGTGCCCTTTGCAAAACCCACATGGCTTGTAAGTTTAATTACAATTATTATCCTGTTAAGTACAGTACAGACCTGAAGAACAGACCATACATTAGGTCCAGCAGAAAGCTGAAACCTTTTTGAATTTTTTTACATGAATTGCCCAACTCAGTAAAAAATACCAGTCAGGATTTCTAATCAAGTGGCATCCAGACCCCAGGGACCGGAGAGCATGTTTTGTTTTTGTACCTGATGCTGCATGAGCCTGTGTTTTGAGCATGTGTTTTCCTATGAGCGCCACCTGAAGTGATGAGTTCTAAACCGCTACATTTGCCACTGCCAGGGCCAGACACCATGGCTGAATGCAAAATAGTAATGGAGTTGGCCAGCACTGGAAACAATTTGAGACTGCTGTGGAGAAACCTTCCATGACTTCTTGTCAGAAAATGTTTGACACCAAAAAAAAACGTATTGGAGGAACGGAGTGCTGAATGTTTTCAGTTTCAGAAAGCCACTTCCACTCTCCAGCAGAGGTTTGTGTGCAGCGATCAGTGAGGTCTGTAGATTGAACCATGTTCATCACCACATTCCAGGTGATGCATGAAAAGCAGCAGAATGGGAGTGCATATATTTTGACTGTGGAACTGACAGGTCCGTTTGAATTCAGATGTGAGCCTCATTCTTTCAGGATGCGCAGGGACAACCTGTTGAGCAATTTAATATATTGCTATACATTTGATGGACCATTAACTAAATGGCCACCATCACTGAGCATTTTTGTTTTCTCTTCCTTCTATGAGAGTATCAGATAAACACACTGCCAAAAATTTTATGATTCCTTTTTAATCAATGTATTTTGGGGAACTGACCAGAACTGTTGGCAGTTTGCATCATTTATTTTTGAATGGTGATGTATCGGCATCTTTGTACAGTTCATTTGAATAAATAATTGGTATCATCACCATTCTTTGAAAGAAAACTTGATTTCTTGCTTTACCTGCATTTTTGAATGAGTTTTTTTGGGGTGGGGAGAAGTGAGAGAAAATTGCTTATTATCCACCTCTGGTTTTACTTTTGTAAAAGACTCCATAATCTGTTTCTTCAGATGTTTGCATTTAGATTTGAAAAAAGTCAGATATCTCTTCGTTAAACTTTATATATGAATGAAGACTTCCATCCATCAAGCTGACACCAGTGTTTGATTTTATATGTATCTGGAGCACAGTAAACAATGTAAAAATCCTTCTCTGAGGGGCTATAGGACAAATAGTGATGTTCAAACCAACCTTATAATGGAAATGTTAAGTCTACATTGTCACAGAGCCCCATGTTTCAGACAAAGTGCTACTGGGCTGCAGAATAAAAGTGTTAATTTGTATGGCCTATGAAGAACATATTTTGAATCCACTACTGCATGCTTGATAATTATAGAATTAGTTATTTTTAACAAGCAAGATCCATCTAGCACATGCCTCTCTGTTGTAGTTGCAAGAGGCATCCAGTCATTCCTATTTGATTAACATTTTTAGTTTTGTTAAGTCATTGCAGTGTGACATATGAGAATTAAATTCCATTTTGCAGTAATTCCACATAAAGCCATGGTCATAGAATGATACAGTACAAAAGGAGGCCATTTGCTCCATAGTATCTCTGTTAGCTCTTTGGTAGAGCTACTCAACATTACTTCGAACAATTTAACAACAAGCACTGCATGCAGAGTTCTCTCAACAAACCTGTTGGTTGGTTGAATTTACACTTGCAATATACATCTGTAGATATATTTTTACTGCACTTGAAAACTATAAAGTATTAAATTGTTGTAAAAGTTACTCTTTCGGTTTTTGTAATCAGTGAATCTTGAGAAGCAATGACTTCTGAAAATGTACCATCTCTTTATCCAACACATTTTTATTCCTTTGCAGAATGCTTTCACATTCTGGAAAGATTTAGGGACTTGACTTTTTTTTAAACCCATCTGCTATTGCTCCTAAACATCATTTCCCATACGACAACTTTATTGTAACAGGAATCATTATTTAGAAGTGGGGATAGGATCTTCATCATAGCTGCAGAAATTATCTGAGCTATACCTTCATTTTTAATGACCAGTTTTAATTGCAGCATATAATTTTGCATTTATGATGCTTAACTTATTTTTAAAGCCTTCAATTTTAATTAAAAACATTTGTTGAAGCTTATTCGTTAGCATTAACAATTTCAAAAAGTTACAAAAATTTTATATTGAGATTTGCTTTTGTAGCATAAGATGTATAATACTATAAAATACTTGTAAATGAACTTGTATTATATTTTTGAGTTTACGTGTGAAGGAGATCAGTAAATCTGACTCCAACTTCCAGTTCAATTTTTGTGAAGCAGCGGAGATCCAAATGTTAACATTGTTTGCTGATGACTCTGTTTGCTGAATGTTCACCTTTATTGTTGGCATGCAATATCTTTGACTGTATATCCCACCTTTTTAAGAAATCCATTTTCCAAAAACACTGATAGCAATTTGTCCAATGTAACTCCCTGTACCTGTGCCTTTAGTGCAGGTAACTTTTCCTGCTTTATGTGGGATGCTGCAGCTGATCCGAAATCATTGTTTATTTTTCCCATTTGACTGTAACGGTTTTATTGCTTCAGTGATGGATCATCTGTTGGTTAAGATAGCATTTGGCTTATCTGTTTTGTCTCTGTTTCATCTGCTGTACAAAATATAACATTTTCAAAGTGAAATTCTGCTTTGTGTTTTTTTTAATTAATGAGGGCAAAGAGAGATTGGTGTGTGTCCTTGATTGCACTATACGGTGCCCAAACCCACCATCTTTCATTCAGTGGAAATGAGACTCATTGTGTGGTTCAAGAACGGAGTGGACTTAAAGCAAACACGTTGCAGCTTCAATGTGACAACCACAGAGGTTAAAAGCAGGGGATATAAATCAGGAAATGATGCAGGGTTCCCAAAAAGGTGGGTTTCTTATAGCATTCTGTCATATCCTGTACAAATAAAACTGTTCCACACCTATGGTTGCAAATATCTAGCTGTTTGTAAAGTGGCCTTAAAGTTTCATATTTCTAATCCTAGCCTCAACCAGGTATTGTTCCTTAGAACTTCCCCAGGTCTGTGCTGTTTGTCTGGAGGAGAGAGCTGGCATTGCTTCCAATCACAGACTGAGGAAGAAATGGTCAGCGGAAATTTCTAACCGGGAATTTTCTGACCTTTATGAGGATCAAATAAATCTGGAAGTAATTGACAAATCAATACATTTATTCTGCATAGCCATTGGCAGCATCCACAGGCAATAATTAAACGCATGACAATTTTCTTTTTAAAAAACGTGTCACTTCTTGCACCTTTCACAACCTGATGCAGCTCCTTGCAGCCAGTGTGATCGCTTTTTTCAGAAACATAAGCCAGTTTTTGCACAGCAAGCTCCCACAAACAGCAATGTGATAAAAACAAAATAATCTCTATTTGTGATGTTGGATTGAACATATAAATCCCCAGGACACTGGGGATAGCTCTTCTTTGAGATAGTGCTGGAGGATCACTTACATTGTATTAATTTGATGTCAAGTGCTGTGCAGTAGGCCATCTCCCTATCCTCTTCACTGTCTCAAAATCAAAACTTATAAATGGAAGGAAGTTGCAATCCGTATTATCTCTTCTATATTATTATTTCAAGAACTTCAAAGCTGTGAGAATCTTCTCCTCTCTGCCCTTTCTCCTCATCAATTACAAAGTTTAAACCCCAAACAACTACTGCTTTTATTTTTCCTCTTTAAATTTTGCTGACTTCAGTGTCTGCATTTTGGTTTCTCGATGTTAATGTCTAAATGGTTAACTCAGGGTATGGCAGGGGATGTGGGTAAGGAATGTAACACCCTACTGAGAAATCAGGTTTTATCAGGACCAGATATTTTTACAGCCAATTTCAAGGTTGTGGCTTGGAAAAGGTCAAATGTTCTTACACAATTTCAAAGCCAGTAATGATTACAAGATGGGAATAACATCCCACTGTTGCTAGTACATAATTCACAGTGCACTTAAATAATGTGCTTTATCAGTAAATCTAAAACTCCAATTCATTTAAACATATGTCAGATACTCCCTCGATCTACATCAACAACGAATCCCTTTGAGACTGTCTTTGTCTCTTGCTGTGGAGGAAGGAAGCTATAGACTTGTCAGAAAAATTAAGATAAATGCAAAAAAAGACCGATGTGCTCAGACTTAAAGGAGTCTGAAAAAGGCATGCAAGTTCCACAATGGACATATAATTTAACACTGACTGTCCTATCAGTGCATTGCTCAATGTTTTATATTTGGTGAGAAGGATGTGAACATTCATGTTAACTCTGGAAAGGAATTTGATGCTAAGTTCTGCCAAGCTAATCTTCAAAACCTAAAGACAGAAAAACAATGGGTGCATTTTCCAGGAGATGGTATAGGGATTAGAATGTATGATAGTCTGTGTTTAAAGTTATAGGATGCTGTCATTGGTTAACATTCATTAACTTACAAAACTTGTTCTCCCTGAATAAGAAGGCTTATTGAGAAAAATGTGAAAGCTGTGCCTTCTATTTAATCATTTAGAATTTATCAAAAGGGATTGGAGAAGTAAGTGAAAGGGCAAGTTTTGCAGCAAAATGGGGAATAGAAGGGTCTAAACTATTAGCTGCAAGTCCTCAGCTGTTTCTTGTGATATGATTGTGGTCAAAGAGGTTCGAAAGAGCACTAATTTTATAGTAAGGAACTCTACTGTTCCAAGCTGATATCCTCCAGGCTTGTCTATTGTCAAAATTTCCCAAAATTTGCTTGTGCTGACATAAGATTGATATTGACATTAATACTGATTCTGAAGGAAACTTGGAAACACTTCTGTTTGAGAATGGCATAGTGATTATGACATTCAAGGAACACTAATCTTATAAATTCATCAAAAGGTTTAGTCGCTTAAAAGACAGGCTTCATCACCATCTATTGTAATGAGCCTCATGCCAAACTTTTCATGTAACAAATGACACCTGTAGATTTTCAAGATATGTATTTCAAACAGACATCAAGTATTTTCTAAATTTTGAGTAATGAGGGACTGTAGGGAAACAAAGAGACTTGGGATCCACATATTTGAATCTTTGAAATCAGTCTATAGATACACAAAATAATCAAAAATGCTACTGGAATATTGTTCTTTGTCTCCAAGATAATTGGAATACACAGGTGCTGTGCTGTATGACTTCCTCTCCAATCTGGAATACTGTGTTGGGCTTTCAGCTCTAAACTTCCAAGAGGATGTGTTTGCCTTGATGGGGATGCAGCACAGTTTGCAGATGTTAAAAGCATTTGATAGGCGAGATAAAGAGAAACAATTTCCTGCTGGGGGAACTGAGGGGGCATCATTTAAGGAATCAAGCCAGTCCACTCAACATCAAGATTAGGAAGGAATTTTTCTCATAGGATTAATGGAAGTTTGGAACTTTCTCCACCAAAATGTTGCGGATGCATATGTTTTCAAGGCTGTTGGATTCTTTTTCTTCAGTCGGGTTACCATGGAGCTAATATGGGTACTTGGAATTGATGGGCAGATCAGTAATGGGTTAATTAAAAGGGGGAGCAGGCCTAAGTGGCCTGACTGGTCTCCACCAATACCTGTGTGATTTGGTTTCATTTTACAGGGGCTCCCCAATTTACGAACATACGATTTACTAATGTTTATACTTATGAACACAATCCCGTACAGGGGCATAATTTTAAAGATCCAACAGATGAATGTTTCCTGTACTTACGAACATCTATTTTGTACTGTCCTGCACTGTGTTCTGACTTATGTCCAAATTAACTAGTGAATGGACTCAAGAACAGAACCTGTTCACAATCCAGGCATTGCCTGTACAGACCTTCCTGTGCTTTTGTCTGTAACAAGCACAGAGAATGCTGGAGAAACACAACAGGTCTGGCAGCATCTGGGAGAGATAAACAGAGTTAATGTTTCAAATCAATGAGTCTTCTCCATTATGTGGGCTTATTTCTCCACAAATGTTGCCAGACCTGCTCAGTTTCTCCAGCATCCTTTGTGTTTGTTTCAGATTTCCCGCATCTGTAATAATTTCCCTTGGTTCACCATGGTCTGAATGTGGTTTGAAAGGGAATTAAGTTTGTTATCAATAATTGAATCATTGTTGGGCCATAAGATAACATTTAGAGTTGGCTTAAGGTAGAAATTAAAAACATCAAACTTTTTTTAAGTTGTGGTTTTGCAGATTAAAAATATCTCTGTTTAAAGTCAAGCTATTAGTAGCGTACCATGACAAACAACGATTGGTTGCCAAAAACATAATAATTAAATACTTTGAACCCGATTCAAGTAAAACCAAAATAAGACTCCTGTTTGTCGAGAATAAACTTTAAAGTGAAAAACTGTTTTCTTAGTGTTAAATAGATAAGAATACCATTTTCAGCTCATGTAAAATGTTCAGAAGGCAAATATTTACCATTTTAATTAGTGCATTTTTCAAATAACCTGCACGGAATATGATTCAATGAATTTTAAAACTCTTCACAGGGTATATTTTGATTGTTTAAAATATGATATAGAATCACAGCAGATTTTTACTTAAAATGCAGCTCACATAGTCACTGGATTGGTACATTGTTGCTGCCCCCTGGAGGAGCATAGGGGAGCAAACATGCACTTCCCTGTATTGTAAGGTTAGAAGTCACACGATGCCGGGTTATAGCCCAACAGATTTATTTGAAATCACAAGCTTTTGCAGCGCTGCTCCTTCAAAGGAGCAGTAGTCCGAAAGCTTGTGATTTCAAAATAAACCTGTTGGACTATGATCTGGTGTTGTCTGACTTCTGACCTTGTCCACCCCAGTCCAACACTGGCACCTTCACGTCACACCCTGTGTTGTAAGAGTGAGATCATTCCTAACAGGCCAAGAAGTAGGAGCTAAAGTAAGCCATTTGGTTACTGGAGATTGCTAACCCATTCAATGAAATAGTGACAGATTTTCTACCTCAACGGTACTTTCACGCCCTGTGGTTATGTTCTCTTCATTCCCTCAGTGATCAGAAAACAATGGATCTCTAGACTTGGACATGCTCGAAGGCTGGGCATACAGAGCTCCCTGGGTTATTCCAAAGACTGACAACCCTCTCAGTAAAGAAATTCCTTCTTACATCCTACTCTGAAAGTCTGCAGTGTTAGATTGTGTCTGAGCCAAGGTTTAGGTGTTGAGGTCTCACTCCAAAGACTTGAGCACAAAAGTTGTCTGGCACTCTAGCCTGGTGCTGAGGGTGTGTTGCACAGTTAGAGGTGATTTTATCAAGTTGCATGTTCGCCCTCTTGTGTAAACATGAAGGAAGTTCAGAGGTATTTTCTGGTGTGTGTCAGTCAATATATAAACACAATTAACATCACAAAAAAAGGATTGTCTGTTCATTTTCACATTGTCCTTTGTGGGAGCTTACCGTTTGCAACACATTAACATCTGGAAGACCGCCACGCCCCCAGCCCTTCTCCTCTAAACCTACCTTATTTTTTACTTTATTAAATTCTCATACCTCTTTTTGTGGCTTGATGTCAAATTCAGTTTGATAATGCTCCATGTTTAGTTCCATGAAAGAAGCTATGTAAATACAAATTGCTAATGTTACCCACACACCCTCAACCCACCAAAACTTCCCCTTTAATAGCTGCTGCAAACCTTTCACAATTAAAGGGCTAACAAGGTGTAGAGCTGGATGAACACAGCAGGCCAGGCAGCA